ATAATACCACCTCTCCAGGTGGTAGTATAATCGTCTCAATAATACAGATAGAGTGTATTATTTGAATAAGCATTTGAAATAAAAATATATACAATATAGAATATATTTTGCAACTAAATGCAGTATAAAGTTGGATTAGAAAGTTTAATTTGTTATGACTCTTTAATATACTCTTTAATACTACAACCAAACAACTCCTATACGTATAACAATATTTTGACTCCTCAACTATTCTCTTTGTCATGTATTGTCCTCCCAATTAATAATATATCTCCACCACCTCTGTTTACTGTTCAACAACATAGCCACCACCATTGCCAATGACATCGCAACCATTACCACCGCCACTATCGTTGCTACCAACACCATCACTATCTTTCAACTTTTAAAAATAGGGTAAATTATATTTTGACCCCTCAGCTATGACTATTTTGTTATTTTGTCTTCTCAACTATCATATTTTTTATACTGCATCCTCAATTAAATGATTAGTTTCACATTGATCAATTGTTAACGTCTATTAAATATTTAACGGAAATATATTTCATTCCCCCCTCCCAAGGAAGTATTAGCGTCCACTACATTTTTAACAAAAATTTATTTTATTTTGTCTTCCGACGTATGTAAGGTTTGTCACTTTGCTCCGATACGTTGGCAATTTTCGTTAAAAAAATAATGGGTATTTGCAATTAGGACAGCATGAAATAATCAAAGTAGTTAATGGGACAATGTGAAAAATTCAATAATTTAAGGGACAAGGTGAAACCGAGTCCATAGATTAGGGGGTCAAAGTGTAATGTATCCTTCAAAAATATTTCTTTTGCCAAGATCATATCGTTTGTCAAGAAAAAAAAAATCTTCTCATTCCCAACTAATGGCAAGCCTTTTTCTATGACAAATTTAACTAGTATTATTGTGTAGGTTAAATTGCATGGTGAGATTGATCAGAAAACTGAACTTTATTGGTCAGAGTAAGAATCCGATGAAATCCACAGTGAAGTCCAAAGGCCATTTAGCCCCCTACCCTACACAGTTACTTGAAGAATGAAGTCCACAGAGTTGTGAAAGCAAAAGAATTGTCGAAATCATGGACATGAGGAAAATTGACAACTATGTATAGAACAAATAATGGATATGGTTCTTTGGAGTCCTAAAAAGCTTGTCTCACAAGAAAAAAATAAGCATCCTTTTGATGACTTGATTATACATGAACATTCAAAATTACATAGATACAGAGAGATTTTGGTATTGTTAATGTTGGATTTCTTATTCCAACATAACTTGATTCGAAATTGAAAAATACCTCCAAAAATAAGTGCAAAGGTATTTTTGTTTAGCTATACTTCATGTGGAACTTGAACTTAGACATTCTTCCAAACTCGCTTACGATATTCTCCAAGTGCCCACAATGGGAAATAACTCCTGTACTGTGCATAATGTAGCATACAGTTCTTCATGTAGACTCCAAGGATTTCCTACATGATTGAATTAATTGTTAGGAGAAAGAATAATATTTTGACAATATGTTTTAAAAAAACAGAAGAACTAAATAAACTGTGAGATCATATTGAAGTGACAAGCCAATTCGTTAAAGCTTTACCTGTTGGGGGAAATCTCCATTATCCAGTTGAGCATTAATCAATAATTTTGCTGCTTTATGTAAAGGTGTTGGATCCCTCTCAGCCTAGTCAATAAGGCAAATCAAAAAAGAATCAACCACTTAAGACTTAGAAATGTGAAGAATAGTAATTGTTAATCAATTCCTCTATCCAAAACTACTAACCTGTCCAGCATACATAAGACCCATCATAGCCCATGATGTTTGTACTATATTTGTTCGATTTCCTTCCAGCGGTATGTATTTCTGTTTGTCACAAACATTAGAGACTAGTTAGAAATAATTGTAACCCTTATGGACAGTGAAATTTTGTGCATTGGTTTTCTTGAGAACCAACAGCAAAGAACTGAGATAGAATTTGCCAACGTTAAGTATAGTTAAACTTAAAAATCAAGTTTGATGGTTACCATGCTTGGGCAGGCTTCGAGGCTCTCTCCCCAACCACCCTCTTCATTTTGTGTTGAGAGGTAAAATTGAACAGCTTTACGGACTGCTGGGCTGTTTTCATATGTCTTTCCAGCTGCAACGAGCCCTCCGAGCACAAAACAGGTGCCATAGAGGAAGCAAATTCCCCAGTAACCATACCTAGCAATTTTGTTTTATGTTAGAATACTGATCCATTATGAATTTTTCATTGATTCAGTGAACTTCAACATAAATATAACTCACCATGAACCATCAGGCCACTGTTTTTCTTCAAGGAACCGTACTGCTTTTATCACAGAAATCTCAATTTCTTTCTCACGATGCCCCGGATGTAGACGTTTGAATGTTAGTAGAGCTTGGATTATACATGCAGTGTTCTCAAGATGCCTATATAAACCATGAAGTAACAAATTTTAGTCACTATCCAATGCAAATATTTTTCCAAAGGAAATCGAATGAGAGAAGTTGGATAAGTTAGTTCTTACTCTTTTTCAACAACAATGTCAGCAAAAACTTCTGAGGGATTCAAGACCTGAGCAAAAAGTAACAGAAAAAAGTTTGTTCTATTAATATGTCCCAAATCAAAAGAAGGGGTTCTTTGCATAATTATTTGGAATCAAAATGTGTGTATCGATATGGTATCAAAGTACCTGTAAATACGGTTGTGGAATTGGGGGTTCCCATATAGCAAAACCACCACTTTCAGGACTCTAGATGAAAGGAATCGAGGAAAGAAAAAGAAGAGATTATTAGCCACTAATTTCTTGCAAATATGTCTATATGGTGGTCTTTAATACTCAATATTAGAGATTATTTGGTATTTCATACTTGCAAGTAAAGAAGGACATTGACGGCATCATATAATCGTTGCACATCAGCTTTTTCCCCAGCAATTTCTGGTGGCATTTGAGAAAACACTAGTAGGCACTACAGAGAAAAATAGGCATTTAGTTATGAGAACATACTTTATAATTTGAAGTGAATTAAACAATAATCTATCAAAACTAAAGTTGAATTTACCTTTAGTGCTTCGGCAGTGCAGTCAGAGACAACCCATCCCTGATCTTGATCCGAGAAAGTCCATGATCCCTTTGTAAAATGACGGTACATACTTGTATAATCACCTTCTGGATTTTCTTTACACTGCAAATTTAGTACAGAATATTGATTTTACTGAAATGAAATTATTGAGAGCAACTTAGTAAAGAAATCATTTTGTTCATGTATAAAAAGAAACCTGTGATTCTTTTATATAGAAGTGTGCCATCTTCAGACTATCCCCATACTCCTCAACCATATTACTTGCCAAAATTGCTTGAGTGGCAAGAGTAGCATCCCATAGCTGACTACCAAAACTCTGTAATTATGGCAGCCACTTAGTAAATATACCCCTGGGGTGAATCTGTACAAGATAAAGGCGAAAAACTAAAATCATAGCATGACATAACACGAACCTGCATTGTCATTCCATCTTCAGCAAGCCACAAGTAATCTGGAACTCTTGCTAGGTGATACTTGAACTCATCACAGTTAGGGTCCTCTGCCCACCAACACATCATTTGTAAACTCTACAGGAATAAAAGACTCAGATTAGACCAGTTTCCTGGTATAAAAATATTCAGAGTTTTGTTCCATCATTTTATTTTGCTCATTTCTCACCTTTTCTACACATCCTATAGTAATGTATCTGCTCTCAGTTGCTCCATAGCGCATGTATTTAATTGCTTTTTGCACAGCTCTCTCCCTCAGCTTGTTGAAAGGCCAACGTTTCATGATTGGCTCGGTGACATAGTGAAGAGTATCCCAAAGCAGATCTTGTATAAAGGTATGAGGGTAATAGAGATCCTCCTGCATTGCATATGCTTCATTAAAAACACACAAAGAATCACCGCAACAAAATTGCAATGAATAGAAATAAATCAAAAATCCATTGCTCATGAATATCTTTCACTTTGGCTTTCACCAACCTTGCAGCAGTCATGGCGTGCTTTATTCCAATTTATTTCATTGTAGGGCAAGGGGTGAATTTCTTGCCTCAATGACAAAACAAGATCAGTAATAGGCCCATGGTACTTCCTTCCATACAAATAGGACATCGGCATATAAGTTGTCCGGCAGTAACACCACATTTTTGCTGCATTGCATAATCAAACAGTGGAATAAGATATAGCTTGTTAATTGAGGATGACCAAACTTCTCTTAATGGACCAGCATATTGATAGAGACCCATTCACATGCAACAAACCTAATTTATACTAAGCTACTCATAGAGAAAAGGAACAGAGCATTCCTTATGTACCTGGATGATAAGGTAAAACTGAAGGGAAAAGCCAGAATTCTGGGGTCAGTGGGTTGCAACCATCCCATTCATACACTCCAAGCACCTGCACAATAAAGATTTTACATGTTAATGTTTTGAGAAGCACAACTTTTGCATAGAAGAGAAAGGAAAAAAAATTAATTGAAGCTGCAACTGTTTTTATCCACTTTATTTGGATGCTAAAACATTTACTCCTTACAGTAATCTCTTTCCTCACAGGAGAATTAGATCAAACACCTTGTGACATTCATTAAAATCCATCATATATATAAGTTACGACCCCAAAATTTTAACAAATTATTTTTACCGCGAGATAAGTCTTTCCCCATGAGGGTATTCCTGTGGCACCGCCATGATCAAGGATCCATTTTCGGGCTCTTGCAATTGCACCATCACCATCATCAGGTCCTTCTCCTAGAATTCGTAAAGTGACGTAGCTAAGTGCCGAGCCAATCATGGTGCTATGCCCCTCTATGTAAAATCCCCATCCACCATCATAATTCTGCCATATTCTACTAGTTAGATAATGTATGCCAAAAATTCACTACCATGAAGAAAAAAAAAAAAAGCATTGAGCTTTTGTTATTACTTGATGATTGTAAAGCCAACGAATCATCTCTTTCTTGTGTTCTGGTGTTAGGATAGTATTAATTGCCCCACTGATGTACAAGGCAATGATCTGCAGATTGTAACACATTCATCAGGACACCAGTTAGGCCACGAGAGAAGTTTATGTTTGGAATTTGAAAATAAAACACTTACCAAGGGAGGTGTAAAAAAGTTGACGCCTGCATTTTCAGCTGGCCAGTGACCATCTTTTGCCTGGATTGCTCGATTTAATCGAACAGCTTTTTTAACAGCAGTCGTCACTGCTTCGTATGTCACCTCTTCTTTTTCTCCTAGTCTCACTGGTGGTATGCTTAATAGATCCAGTCCACTTTCCTTGATAAGCTGTGGATTGAAGATAAAAAACAAAAAATACAAAACAAGTGATTATCAAGTCATATGCATCTCAACCCAAGTTTTTTTACCCATTAACATCTCAACCATAAGTTATTTGAACTCGTGATTTCTACATAAATTCAAGACATGCATCATTATCCACAATTCATATACATCGAATCAACCAAGACATCTCTTCCTTGAACAAAACTCTAGACTTTTAGAACATGTTCGTGTTTACATGGTCATATAATCTTTTGTTTAGATGGTCATATAAATGTTTGGTAAAGTGTTTTATGCACCTGCATTCGCATAAGCAGATCACCACAAGGATGAACTCCTTGTTTTCGATTTTTCCGGTACTCCTCTCGAGCTTTTTCAACCTCTTCTCGCTCCTCAGGCGTTCCGGCTTCATGATCAAACTCCCAAATTTGTCTGCCAACAAAATTGTTGGTGCTGTACAAGTATGGTCCATGGCCTTCAGCAATCTTAAGCTTCCACATCCTCTTCTTTAATCGGTTTTAAAACTCGCTACTTGGCTTCTGCATTTATATTTACCAAATAAATCAGCAGATACAAAAAAAACATGATGATATATATGAATACCAGAAAACATCTAAAACAAATGACATTATTAAACATCAAAACCATCTAAAATAAAATAAAAATAGTTAGAAGTCTAATACATGAGACATCCACTACTATTATTAACTATTATTATGTTTGAGGTAACTCCGATGTATCCAGTTTTAGAAGTGTTGGGTAAAGAATGGCCAACAGACTAGCTTAAATATATATATATATATATATATAATAAATAATATTATCTACATACATGTTCTAAAGTGTTGGGTAAAATACAAAGTATATTGCTTCACATGGCAAAAAACTTATAAAATTGCACCACGTCATGTGGTGGAATAGTTGAGTGAGGTCAAAGTAAACATTAGTGTGCGAGTGCGAGACCCACACAAAACGCAGGTCTTGCAAGGCGGTCCAACGACTAAGTTAACAAAGCATTCCCTTCTAAGTCTGACCTACAAAAAAATTGCCTACCTATTTTATAAGGTAAATTACACTTTGACCTGTTTAACTATGACCTTAATTTTACTTTACCCTTTAAACTATTGCATCTTTTACATTGCTTCCTCAATTACTTGAATTTTTTTACATTACCCCAAACGCAAATCTCATTCATTTTTTGGACGAAATTGCCAACCTGTCGAGGCAAAGTGGAAAAAAAAATTATTGAGTTTAAGTCATAGTTTAGGGGAAAAAGTGCAATTTTCATAAAATCTAAACTCCACAAAAAAAAAAGACCTCAAAAAGGCACAATAAAATTTTCAAAATAAGAAATATTACAATAGAGTCACATAAAATATTATTTAGTAATTTTATATATCAAAAAAAATAAATAACCTTTAAATATGAACTTTTTACAGAAATTTAGAAAGTAAAAAAAAAAATCAGTTAGAATTGTTGCTTTAAACCCAAACTATCTCGAGCCGACCCTGAGGTCTTGGACGTTCAAAGGGGCTGACATGTGTGTGTGAGAGAGAGAGAGAGAGAGGGAGAGAGCACAAAGGGCACCTATTTCGTTGCTAAAAATACTTTTTAAAATGAATATTAGTGACTAACAGCAACTTGGAAATGAAAAATTAATGTAACTTCATAGTTGTCATCGAGGATATGCATAAATATAAAAAAACAGAGAGAGAGAGAGAGAGAGAGAGAGAGAAACCTGATCAAGAAAGTAGTATATCTGAGAAACAGTATAGAACAAGAGGGTAGGGAGTTGAGCTGAAAAGAAAAAAAGCTAGAATATGATCTTATATGTGCAGAGGAAACAGAGGCAACCCCTTTTATTGAGACTATACAAACTTCTCCCAAAGGGCATGTTTTACACCGGGGACAAAATTATTGTATTACGCCAAAAATTGGGGCGGCTAACTGTCATTTCAACGCATGGAAATTTCTGGTTGTGACGGCATGTGATGGTTGTGAGATGATCATACAAAGCATTTGAAGAAAGAAAATGGTCTACTTTATCTTGAATGCTCAGTTTAAAAAATAAGCCCCTGTCGTATTGTCAAGGATGGTATTTCTCATCAATGTTCGTGTGAAAAGTACGTTGGGAGAGATTGCTCATATTCCGAGTATTGAAAGTTACACTATACCCAAGAGGATAATTGGTCAATTGTTGAAACGTGAGCGAAGACAATTGGCCATCTAGTCGAGAATTACTCTTTTCTTCACATTAGATTGTATTTTCTCAAATATTTCTATGGTAAATTCCTTGCTTAGAAAAGTGTTTTCCTAACAATACTGTCACCTAAATACAAAGCATGTATGAGCACACATGTCCACAAAAGAAGAGCTTAGAGGCCCTGACTTCAAAATCACACTATGTTCTTCCCTTGTTATATAAAATACCAAAACAAAAAAAAAAGAAAGTAACGTGGGTGGACTACCAAAAAGAGTTCGCAGGGAAAGAAGTAGCGAATAAGTACATGTAGTCCAACTATCTTTATCAGCTTAGGCTTTTAAAGTAATTGATGTTTTAACATTTGAACAACCCACATGAGAGAGAGAGAGAGAGAGAGAGAGAGAGAGAGTACCTGCTTCAGTTAAGGACTGGTGGCGTTGGGCTCTTGACAGGGAGTGAGCTGAGAGATGGTTTAGAGAACTAAAGAATTTGAGCGTTTGAGCTGGTTGTCGTGGTTGAGCAAAAAGTGGCAATACTTGTATTTATATACAGATTTCAAACTCCTGTATGCATGTATAAAGCAATAATATAATATTTAGGTGTGGATAGCGCAGTCAAAGTTTACCAAATACTAAAGAAGAAATGGACCCCAATCGTCAATGTTGACTGTACCTTAGTCCATTATGGGAGGCTATAAACTAATGATTAGATGAAAAATATTGAAAGGGAAAACATTGTTATAATCGTCTACTAAAAAGAGAATAAGGACCCAGTGAATCTCTCAAGATTAAATTTAATAATCACTGTCTATATAATTTATAAATTATCTCCATGTAGCAAAAATGAGTCCATTTTATCCATCTTATAACTTTTTTAATTAGAATAATCATATATTAGACTCATGATACTGTCTAAAAAATTAACACATGATCATATTCATCAAAAAACTTAACGGATGTCTATGTAGAGACTAAAGTGACACGAATTAAATACTTTACGAACCAAATTGACAAAATTAATATAATAAAGACCAAACTGACAAATAATACATACTTTAGGTGAGATGCATGATATACAAGTTGTTGTGATCGTGCAGCAATTATGGTGAATAGTAAGGAATCAAACAATTAAGAAGCAGAAGAAAATAACACACAGAGATTTACGTGGTTCGGCAATGTGCCTACATCCACGAGAGCGAGCGGCTGTTCTTTTCCATTATTCAAGTAGGGTTACATCTTAAGTATTTATATAACCCTAATATGGACGTATTTACAAAAATAACCCTGTACTGTACCGCGGGGGCGTTGCCCCCGCACCCCCAACTAATCAGCGTCCCCTTTATATAAATCCCGCAAGGCAGATGCCGTCGCGGGCTCCACTCCACTGCTCCAGCATCTGCCTCCTTGCTATTATGCACACAGCAAATATGAGCCACACATACTCTAACAATCTCCACCTTGGCAAATATTCACCCCTTAGAAGAAAAAAAAGAGGACATGTATTCGGGAACTCCACCGGGGACGCTGAGTTGAGGCATCTCCCATCTAGCAACTAGAGACATTAATCAAGTCCAAGCAGTGCTTGAACTTATCTGTAGTAACAGGCTTTGTCAACATGTCTGCTGCATTCTCAGAAGTGTGAACTTTCTCAAGTAATAGTTCACCAGAAGAAACCAGTTCCCTGATCTTATGAAACCTCACATCTATATGTTTGGTCCTCGCATGATACACCTGGTTCTTTGCCAAATAAATGGCACTCTGACTGTCACAATGCAATTGAACTCCACCTTGCTGGGCACCCAGCTCCTTGACTAAACCTGTAAGCCACAAAGCCTCTTTGGCAGCCTCAGCTACTGCCATATACTCTGACTCAGTAGTAGATAGTGCAATTATAGGCTGTACCATGGACTTCCAACAAATAGGTCCTCCCACAAGAGTAAACACATAACCTGTGGTAGACCTCCTGTCATCCAAGTCCCCTGCATAGTCTGCATCCACATATCCCATAACTGAAGGGTCACTCTGTTGTCTGCTAAACCTGATGTCATAGTCTGTAGTGCCCCTCAAGTATCTGAAAATCCACTTGACTGCATCCCAATGCTGTCGACCCGGATTTGAAAGAAACTTGCTAACCACGCTGACAGCTTGTGCCAAATCTGGTCTTGTACAAACCATAGCATACATCAAACACCCCACTGCACTAGCATATGGGACCTTTGACATGTCATGAACTTCATCATCTGTCTTCGGGCACTGAGCGGTAGACAATCTGAAATGATTCGCCAAATGTGTACTTACTGATTTTGCATAACTCATGCTGAACCTGTCCAACACCTTCTCAATATAGCTATGCTGAGATAGCCATAATCTCCTGGAAGCTCTGTCCCTGCGAATCTCCATCCCAAGAATCTTCTTGGCCGCACCCAGATCCTTCATGTCAAATTCTCTACTCAACAAAGTCTTCAACTTGTTGACCTCACTCATACTCTTGGCAGCAATCAACATATCATCCACATAAAGTAACAGAAAAATAAATGAATCATCATCAAGCCTTTTTACATAGACACAGCAATCATACTCACACCTTTTGTAGCCAATTCGGATCATGTAAGAGTCAAATCGTTTGTACCACTGCCTCGGAGACTGCTTCAGCCCATAAAGTGATTTCTTCAAATTACAGACCAAATGTTCCTCTCCGGGGAGACTGAACCCTTCTGGCTGTACCATGTAAATCCGTTCCTCCAAGTCGCCATGAAGGAAAGCTGTCTTTACATCCATCTGCTCCAACTGCATATCTGAATGTGCTACTAGTGCCAACACTGTCCTGATGGAAGTGTGTCTGACCACGGGGGAGAAGATCTCATCATAGTCAACCCCTTTTCTCTGTGAGTAACCCTTTGCTACTAGACGAGCCTTGAATTTTTCTCCCTCATTTTCTGATACTGCTTCTTTCTTCTTATACACCCATTTGCACCCTATTGCTCTCTTCCCCTCGGGAAGTTCCACCAACTCCCACGTCTGGTTCTTATGCAGAGACTCCATCTCCTCCACCATAGCACCCATCCATCTACTTTTCTCTTGGCTTTGTACTGCCTCCTGAAAAGTTGTAGGATCCCCGCTACTAGTAATAAGCGCATAAGAAACCAAATCTTCAAAACCATACCTGGTAGGTGGCTTGATATTGCGTTTGGGCCTGTCTGTGGCTATACTATGATGTTGTTGATCACCTGAGATAGAACGCTCTACATGCTGAGCATCCTCTTCTCTACCATGATTCTCTAGTTCCACCTGCACCACA